TGTAAAAGGAATTATATCCACGTAACCTTCAAGATAATATTTTTTCTCCTTTCTACAGTAGCTTTTGAGTAAAACAACTCTTCTGCTTCAAATTCAGAGTATTCTGTCCAGTTTCTTTTTAGAACAGAATTCGGTTGATTATCAAAAATAATGCTTAGTTTTCAAGACAAAAAGAGTGTAATTTATTCAAATATATAATTTATTCAAATATATATACACACAGTATTAGATCTTCCACGCAGTAAAATATTGATTAGTTGTGTAATAAAAACAAAAACATTTCAATTTTCCACAGTGTGTTTTGTGAACGAAATGATTGACGCTCCGTTTACTTCTCCAGACAACAGATGCCACCGACGTTGAAAGATCAGCTGACCATTGAGAAGACACCGAGTTATTTTATTGGTAAACAGGTACCGGTCAGAGTTCACAACATGTCACGTGATATGAAGTTACTACTAGTGGTGCGTGACCCTGTGACTCGTGCCATTTCTGATTATACACAGACGGTGACGAAATGGCCTCAAACTCCTTTCTTTGAGAAGATGGCTTTTCTGAACGCTTCGACTGGACTGATAGACACAGCATGGCCACCTATCGGTATAGGAGTGTACGTCCGCTACTTCCTGCTATGGAACCACGTCTTTCCTCCCCGCCAGATCCACGTGGTTAGTGGGGAGAACTTGATAAAAAACCCTGGCAGAGAGATGACGAGGGTACAAGATTTTTTGGGTTTGCCTCGTATCGTGAGCGACCACCATTTTTACTTCAACCAAACCAAAGGCTTCCCTTGTGTTAAAAAATCAGAAAACAAAGGCGTCCCTCATTGTTTGGGGAAAACGAAGGGTCGAACTCATCCCGATATTGCCCCAGAAACCATTGACAGATTACGAGACTTTTATCGACCTTTCAACCAAAAGTTTTTCCAAATAGTTGGGAGGGACTTCATGTGGCATTGAAATGTGCACATCATAGTCTCAAGTGTTTATATTTAAAGGATTCAGTAATCAACCACGATATTCAAGACAACTTGAATTTACTCTGGATTTCTCCAACTCACGTTGAAAAAGTCTCTAAGTAGTTTCGAATATTTGAAATATCTAGCCATCAAAGTACCTGACAAATGTCAAAAATCAATGCTACCTCATACTATGTGACCGATCGAAATCAAAGGTCATGTCCAAAAGCATTATTATGTGACATAGGAGCTGCAAAACCGAAGGTTTTTCTGAATCCCAGAATTTTAGTGAGTGAAATCTAGGGATCCGGCCAGAATTCAGAATATTTTGATTATTTAGGTTCTATTTGTTCTTAATAAAAAGTAATTAACTTAGCTACCTTCCTTATCTAACGTTAAAGATAAACCTTTGTTTCAGTTTTGATGTGCTTATCTAACGTTAAAGATAAACCTTTGTTTCAGTTTTTGACGTGCTTATCTAACGTTAAAGATAAACCTTTGTTTAAGTTTTTGACGTGCTTATCTAACGTTAAAGATAAACCTTTGTTTAAGTTTTGATGTGCTTATCTAACGTTAAAGATAAACCTTTGTTTCAATTTTTGGTGTGCTTATCTAACGTTAAAGATAAATCTTTTTTCTCCAGATTTTGCTTATTACAATTTATATCAGGAAGCTGTGAATACTGTAATTAGAACACTACATTATCAAAAGAAATATGTTAATAAATATCCATAATCTAGTTGAAACTGACTGGATATATAAAATGAAATTTTTCTGATCAACGACAAAGATGAAAGCAATCAATTATAATATTTTTGTTTCACGACATAATATTGGAGATACTAAATCAAATTAAGCAATTTTTTTAAAGCCAAAACTGAGAACTAACTAGTAGGTTAGAAAAAAGTTGTCGTTCAGTTTCGTCAAGTATTGCCAGAAGAACAAAATCATGGAACATTAAAGTGTTGTACAGTTTCGTCAGGTATTGCCAGAAGAACAAAATCAGGGTAAATCAAAGTGTCATACAGTTTCGTCAAGTATTGACAGAAGAACAAAATCAGGGGACATCATTACACCTATTCGGTCCAGAAACGGTTTTTATTAAAACAATCCCTACAATCCCGGGATTTAAGATGCCAAAAATCACTGTCTAGGAAAATTGAAAACAACAACAACAGATAAACATTCTAGAACCTAGGAAGATTTGATATAAGCTCCAGGAACATATAAGCAACAGGTTATGCTGCTGGGTGCTTCATCATGAGTTACTTGAATAATCGCTGGTGGAACTGGGGTGAAATAAAAATATCATTTGAAACCGTTTGAAACCAAACTGGAGTGAAACCTAGAATCGGTTGTGTGAGTTTTGTATTATAATTAATTTTAAGACTGCTTCGGCTGTTGGAATCCATCTATCCTCATCCTAAATATTAAACCCAATAACGTTTAAAATGTTATATTCCAAAACAGTTGTCCATGAAAAATACTGTAAATATCAATTCCATGATATCGCTGTAGAATATCAACTCGATGACATAGCTGTAGAATATCAACTCGATGACATAGCTGTAGAATATCAACTCGATGACATAGTTGTAGAATATCAACTCGATGACATAGTTGTAGAATATCAATTCTATGACATAGCTGTAGAATATCAATTCCATGATATCCTGTAGAATATCAATTCCATGATTGATATTCTACAGCGATATCATGGAATTGATATTCTACAGCGATATCATGGAACTGATATTCTACAGCTATGTCATGGAATTGATATTCTACAGCTATGTCATCAAGTTGATATTCTACAGCTATGTCATCGAGTTGATATTGTACAGCGATACTCGATGATATAGCTGTAGAATATCAATTCCATGACATGACTGTAGAATATCAATTCCATGATATCGCTGTAGAATATCAACTCGATGACATAGCTGTAGAATATCAACTTGATGACATAGCTGTAGAATAGTAACTTCATGTATTCGTTGTAGAATATCAATCCATGACATAGCTGTAGAATATCAACTCGATGACATAGTTGTAGAATATCAATTCCATGATATCGCTGTAGAATATCAACTCGGTGATATAGCTGTAGAATATAAATTCCATGACATAGCTGTAGAATATCAATTCCATGATATCGCCGTAGAATATCAACTCCATAACATAACTTACATTAATTTCGAAATATTGCAAAATAAAGTTTCTGATAGAGTTATTAATTATTTTGTTTTACCAATGGGTCTTACAAAAGTGTCAGGTGGAGTGAACAGTGTACTGAATGGAAAGTCCCTCGACAGATCAGCAGTTAGCAAGTGACTAACGTAGTATTTTTACTCCCATCCGTAGTTTTAATACCTTTAAAAAACAAATAGCAACTTAAACAAGTGACGAACATAATATTTTTACTTTGTCAAGTTTTTATAAAGGCTACGATTCTTTACAGTAAGTGTGTGAGACTTGTTGGCGATAAATTTCAACAATAAACAGACAACACACAATCCATTTGTTTTAAAATAATATATTCAAAACAAGTGAAACGTACGTACAAAAATTCGTTGCACTATTTTTTTACCACAGTTAAATTTAGATCTCTAATAAATAATTCTCTTGTTTTTTGGTTAAAAGTCCACACAAGCTGGTTCAGATATTTTAGAACCAAGCTGACAAGACGAATTATTTCTTCTCTCTTTTTCTTTTATCACAATAGTATCCGTGAATAATTCCCTTACGTTACCCCGTGAGTTACCACAGTTGTATCCAGAGCTTTAAATGATTCTCTCCTTTCCTTCAAAGTCCACACAGACGGGTTTAGTTACCTTAGAACACCCTGTAATAAGACAAATTCTTCTTCTTTAACTCGGTTGTTACAATACAAGCTGTGAACTTTACTTTAGATATCGCCCGTTACGGCTAAACTAACAATCACGCAGTCTAATTTCACTTTATCTAACGTCTTATTTCAATCTTTCTTCTGCTCTTCTCTCTATATTTGTTGTTGTTGTTTAACAAACTCTGGTAGTTCGTCATCTTTGAGCCCAAGAGGCTCACCTTTTTCTATCCTTTCATCAAAATTCATGGTTATATAGTGTGATTGTAATCTCTACACTATTTTCGCCACCACTACGGTCGTAAGTATATAGATAGACCTGTTTCCGCTGTCGTTCACGCCTTCTTCTACCACTGTTTACCACTGTATAATCCTGGCTTGCTGCAATGCGTTGTTTTAATATCTTGGAAAAACAAAAGCAACTTAAAATGATCAGTATACTATTTTTACTACAATAATCAATTTTAGTATTGTTTGTAATTAAGCACAAAGCTACACAATAAGCTATCTGTGCTCTGCCCACCACGGGTATCGAAACCCGGATTCTAGCGTTGTAAGTCCGCAGACATACCGCTGTGCCACTGGGGGCTAATTTTTGTACCTTGCAAAAACAAATAACAACTTAAAACAGCGATCAGCATAATATTGTTACTGCAATCATTAGTTTTAGTACTTTGGAAAAACGAAAAAATAGCAACTGAAAATCTGAAAAATTATAAGCTTTAATTAAAGAGATTTTGCAACATTTGAAAGTGCTTGGTAATAATGTAAACGTACAATAAGTAGAAGAAAAAATTTTTTTTTTATTAAGTTAGGTATATGTCACTTTCAACTGAACCACGATTTTTTTTAATTGGTTTACATAAATCTTAACTTAGGATTTTTGAAGCAAATATCTATTTGTTATAAGAAATAAAATTAAATGGTATCAAAAGTGATATAACTCAGTAAAAAATGAGTGTTTCTAATGGGCCTAAATAATTTTTTTGTGGTAACCAATAGTGACCGGCTCATAACATCGATTTCTATAAATAACTGTTGTGAATAGTGCCATCTGGTGAGAATGCTATGAACGTTAGAATTTAAGAATATATTCATATGCCCTG